TAAATTTAAAAAAACCAAACCCATTACCGTGGAGTTGATTCTGACTCATAGTGACCCTACACATTTAGAAGTTGCATATTCTAACGTATTAAAGGATTCCAAGGGGATGTGGCTGTTTTCTAATCATGACACATAAAATCTCCAAAAGTTAAGAACTGTAGTCTGATGTACTTGTTTTGCTAAAATGATTTCTTCTAGCTATAAAAGCAAATGTTGTCATTTTGTTTGAATGCCAATGTGTGTGTATGAATGATATGTCTTTTTTTTTTAAACTGAAAGAATAAACCAGGAATACTAACTAAAGGCATTTTGTGCTTGTCAAAAGTTGCCAGACCTGAAGGTGTTTTGTATTTGTCAAAGGTGAATGGAAGATACCTTATTCTAGTTAGTACTATTACCACAACTCTAGCAATGGCTCATCTAGCATCGATTCATTTCTTTTTTTGCCCAGTTAAATACTGTACACATTCATCGATCCATTGATAATGTTGTTGCAAGTTGTATACTGGATCCACTTGTGCAGGGCTACCTTTTAACTTGTAATTCAGCATTTGAGAACTGAACAGTAATAATACAACTGATGAAACTGTTGCGTATAATAAGTTATGCATAGAATACTTATTCCACGGAATACTTCTTCCAGAGAATACTTCAGATGACTGTAACGTGCTTTGTAAGCTATATTTGCATTTTTGTTCTGATTATAACACTTGTTTACAGCATGTGGTCATTTCCTAAAATGTATTACTAGTGAGAGTTTGTCAGCAGCTGGGATATTAGGTTACTATATGAACCACCTTTCTGCTACTTAAGAAAAGTAACTCTGTCATACAGATTATGTACTTTACTATTTTGTTGGGGTTAATGTGTTACAATAACTTTTCAATAGAATTACCATACTTCTTAAATTAAATTCCTGTAAGATGAGAGAGTGTTACTATCAATCTTTCTACTTTAAGTGGATTTTGTCAGGGTTAAAAAGAAAAGGAATTGTTAGATTGCTACTCAACTACTTATTATTATGTTTTAGTTCTTTATAAATCCATATTGCTGATATTGAAATATTTTTATCAACATTATCTTGGTTTAACAGTAAATATGTAAATATATATGTGGTTAGAAACGTTTCTTAACATTTTCCCTCTTTAATAAAATTAGAACAAATCTTCTAAACTCTAAATCTAACTGTGGTCAGGTGATTTTAAGAAAACATCTTTGAAGACCATGTTAGGTGTAGGAAGACCTGGATTTTACTCCTGTTACTAGTAAAGTGTCCTTAGTCCTACTCTGTTTTTCCCCTCTATTTCATGTTTTAGGAATCTGAGATTTTTGGTAAATATCAATTTAATTTAAATTGACTTTTGCCCTGTAAATCATCTCTGCTTCCCAGAAGGATATTTGGAAACCCTATAGGGCAGATCTACTCTGTCCTACAGAGTCGCTATGAGTTGGAATCAACTCAACAGCAACGGGTTTAGTTTTGGTTTGTATTTGTTAAAGGAAAGATTGTATACTTGATTTAAAAAAGATCAACCATATGCTAGGAAGAGGCAAATATTATTGATTTCCAATCATATTAAAACTTTTTTCTTTTCATTTAAAAACATTAATGCATAATTTACATACAATAAGATGCACAGATCTGAAGTGTTCAGTTCAATGAATTTTGAAAATTGTATACACCCAAAGCAAAGTGTAAAATAGTTTCCTCTCCTTTCCTTAGTTCTTCTGCTTTAACTCCTTTTGTCTACACCTAAGTTAAAGTTTTTAAAATATTTTTCAAACAAAATAAAATTGAAAAAAATCTTAAAATTTTGTTTGCTTCAATTATTTTTTGATAGAGTTAACTGACAAGAGGAGGGCTATATGAAAGCTTATTTTTAACAGTTTTAAATTATTTAAAGAAAATAAAAATTTCTCATGCGAAAAAAGAAAGAAGTTGTAAAGATTTCCTATTAACCTTGTAGGAGTTATTCCATTCCTCCAAACACTTTACAAAGAATAATGACTCCTGCAGCCATAAAAATAGCAAATACATTGCAAAATCTACAAATAATGAACTCCTTAATCAAAGATTCGTTTTTAACACTTATTTGTATTTCTTTTTAACTTAATAAACATTTTTTTATTTTACCTTGTGATTATAAATTAATTTATATTGATTATAAGGGGAAAAAGAAAAATAAAATGAACCCATTATCTCATCACCTAGAAATAACCCATTCTGCAGTGCATATTCGATCCTATGTTTATGATAGTGAAAAATTATGTAAAAACCTTGTAATAACACATAATTACATGAGATTCTTTTTTTTTTTAATAAAATCATTCCAGGTGAATACATGACAATATGGTAAAACATAATTTAATATCAACAATCTAATGGGCAATGGAGGTTTAGTTAGAATGATAACGTCTGAGTATATAAAACTCTGAAGGTATATTTTAATCCAAGGATAATAAAAAGAGTATCTAGAAGAATGAATGGACTGAGTATCCTACAGGCAGTCTTCCCAGGAATATTGTTTTTCTTAATTGTGATTTGATGAGTATTAATGAGTCTCAAGAAGCAGAGTTTGAGATTAGGCCTCTGATGGTTTCTGGAGTACAGGTATTTCATGTCTCCGATTAAGGACTGATCTATACACCTAAAACCATCAGATGAGGTGGGAATTCTCTGAGGAGTTACAGCACAAAATGGCTTAGTGGATTGATAATGAGATACAGAGCCTTTAGCCTTTTGATCACAAGGTCATTTGTAAGCTAGGATGGTGGTGACTAAAAGTCATTATTAATCAATACCTTTCTAGAGGTGAAATGAATTGCTTAGCTCAGTTCAGTTTTTATTACCATTTGCCAGCTATTTGCTGTCAGTTGTAGATCCAATGTGTGACTCTTTACCACTGAAGTTTACTTTTTAGGAACAGGACCAAGGTACTCTTTCAAAGCATAGAGGAAAAAAAAAATCTGATTTTGCCTTTATTCTGGTTGTTTCTTAAATGTCCAGGACAGTCTTCTACTTCTACTAAGTCTAAGGAAATGGATTTAAAATTGTACACTAAATAGAAACAAAGTTTACTTAGATTTTACTGCATCACTCTTCTACTCTTGGCCAAAGCTCATTGCTTCTGTCTTGCCCAGATGATGAAGCTCTAATGTCATTTTCTTAGTACTGAAAAAAATGTTTGTCTTGGGAAATAAGGCTGTTTCATTACTCTAGTTAGTAAGTAATTGCTGCTTGGGTTGCCTGTGTCTGCATCTTTTTGCTCTTTTACTAATGCAGAATTTGTGGGATTGTTCTCTGGGATATCAGAGAAATAGACGCTTTGAACTTCACGTCAAAGTCAATTGTGGTTGCTGTTGATTAATGTGTGTGTTAGTTTAACTAAAGCTATACAATATACTCTCTAATATGTCAACAATATGCTTGTAGAAATAAATAGCAAAGATTTAGGGGAAGAAAAGGATTAGGACTAAGTAGTTAGTAGTTTAGGAAAAAATTAGTTAGGCCTTGTTTCAAATCCTAGTGTCCTGTATCCAGCATTAGGAACAAGTAGCACATATTTACAACATTATATAACCAAACAGGGACCAGGTTTCCAATTTTCCAATTCTGGAAAACATTCCACAACTGAATATGTAGCAAAAGCCTAGCACCTGGCACAGAAGTTGACGGGAAGATTAATTGCACATGGATTCAGCCTTCAAATACCATATAGTAGATCATAAGCAAATTGAGAGCCGAGAATATTTTTGCTTTCCTTTATATTTCAACCACTTAACAGAGTGCATTGCATAGTCTAGCAGTTTGGGTAATTACTGAATGGATGAATTAATTAATTAATGAACAAGCAAATGAACAAACTATTATAACTTAAGTATCATATATGGCCAAGGAGTCTTCCATGGAATTTCACAGATAAAAAAAAAAAAAATTTTAGTCTGTGGATCAGATTTCCTGGAGAAATGAAATCATAAATCCCATGAAGCATTTCTACTAGGAGAACAACCATAGAAAAGTGATTTATCAATTTCGTTCTCTATTATCTACAACTAGTATACTTTTGTAATACAGTAAAAGTACAAAAGAATTATTGACGATCCCATTTTACTTTATTTACACATGACTGCACTTTTTCTTCATCCACTCTTTAGTGGTAAAATACTTATTACCTCAACCACTAGAAGAATTGGAAAATAGACAAAGCAAAATTCTGATTATTTATTTCATTAGTTAGTTGGTAACTCTGGTAGAAGTTCTGAGAGCAAAATTGAAATAGAGTTCTGGATATACCTATGTAATTAATTGATCTATGCTTTTATTTATTTGTTATTACTTATGAGCATTGAAATTAATTTCCAGTAATGCTATAGCTGAAGTATACTTATATACATATATTTGTTTTTCATCATTCAGTCTGTGATATGTGAAAGGGCAGATACATTGTAAATAAGTTCTTATGAGTTTGTGTGTGTGTGTATAAAATGTGGCTCTCTGGATGAGGCACAATGGAAAAAAAAAGTCACAAGAAATGTTCACAATTTTTCACAATTTCCTTGAGCAGAAGAACAGAATGTTAAATTCCTTGATTCAGCCCATCTAAACAAAATTCCATACTCCGGATCATCAACATAAAGTTTCTCTTCGAAATCAGTGACACATGAAACATGAGTGTATGTAGGAAAGTTACTTGATGTTTTTCTCATGGTTTTTCCTGATAACAATTGCCTGTGTTTTCCCATTAACCTTAGCTTCAGCAGAGATCCTTCACCATTTCCATAGATCCAACCTACCAGAGGTCAGAGGTCACAAAAAACCTACAGAAAAAGGAAATCAAACTTCCTCAGTCCACTACAGAACACAGAAACCTGTTTCCTCTACACATATCAAGTTGGCAAAGCTCTGTCCTAGCAGACTCAGTGTGGAAGCAGCTATCGAAGAGGCTAGAGAGGACATTGTTGCCCAAATTCACATGAACTTCTTGCTACAAACAACTGAAATGAAGAGAGCAAGTCTATTTGTCCTACTTTCTAGTTTATGGAGTGGGGGCCTTGGAGTTAGCAGCACTACGTATGCTTGGACTACCCCTAAGAATGAACCTGCCCAGAAGAATGTGACCTCTGTTTTGGTTCCTCTAAATAAAACACAAAGTCTTCAAATGCTGTCAGCCACTGAGATCCTGTCAGCTGAGACAGCCACAACTCCTGAGGCAAGAACCTCTGAAGAAAGTCTTCTAAAATCAACACGGTTTGCCTCAGAGGCAAGTGCACCTCCCAAGCTTGAGAGAAACCAAACTCCCGCATCCACAGAGAAGGCAGAAGAAAGAGTGCTAAAGTCACAAACTCTTGCCCTCCCAACTCAACCTAACATCAGATTTAGTCCTGGGGAAGAATCAGTGGTGCTCTCCAACTCTACGCTGAAATTTCTTCAGAGTTTTGCCAGAAAGTCAAATCAACAAGAGAGCTCCCTAAATTCAGTTGGAGGTATGGGAAATCGATCCCCACGGGAGACGGATCTCAGCAGAGGTGACAGCAATGGAAGCCAAAGGACCGACTATCAAAAACCAAGTTTTGAAACAACTAGAGGAAAGTAAGAATCATTCTTTTTTTCTTTCTTTCTCTCTGAGTATAAGGTCTATAAGATTGCAAGCTAACAGTTAAGCTATCTCACTCCCAGAAAATGACTTCCTTTACAAGATGATATGGATCAGTTAAGTCAATTAATTCTTATTTATATATGCTTCATTATCTAAAACTATTTTTCACTGTAGTTCAAAGGTTCTACAACTATATATATATATATGAATCTGATTTTAACTAAAAACTTTCACTCGGCGGAATTAAGAACAATCGCAATGTACTGTAAATTTACAAATGCTACAGATTACAGAATGTTCAGTTTGGGATGGGTAGATTTAGTCTAATGATCTCTGGTGGCACAATGGTTAAGCACTCAGCTCCTAACTGAAAGGTCAGAGGTTCAAATCTACCAGAGACTCTGCAGGAGAAAAGACCTGGTGATCTGCTCCCAAGAAGATTACAGCATAGGAAATCCTATGAGGCAGTTCTACTCTGTCCCATAGGGTTGCTATGAGTCAGAATCAACTCTATGGCATACAACAACAGATTTAGTCTATAACAGTTGTATTAACAGACACATGTTGATTTCTTTTGTGTTTTTGGACAGAGAATGTTGTCTATTAAGTAATAATAACACATGCCATTTATTGAAAGTCATTTCTAAATCACATGTTTTATTTCTATTCATATTTTATTAGAGTCTGTAATTCAATTTATTTTTTATTTTACTGCTTGCATAGAACTCTTAGGCACTCATAGGATACAACTATGAAGTTTTCAGAGATGCTGTCATCAAGATTTTAATAAAATAGGTGATATAATAAAAAAATAAGGGGGGGCAATTCAAATCAAAATATCACTTAAATTTTATATAGCATACAGAAAGTGGGATATACTTGTTTTTTAATTACAACAAGTAATTAATACTTTGATATTAGTTGCTAAAATAAATGCTAGTTGTATTTATCCAAAGACCTCACTTTTGAAGTTTAGGAACAGTTATTTATTTGATAATTGTTTCTAAATTGCCTATTATATGCCTAGCATTGTGATATGTTTCTGGGAAGACAGAATTTAAAAAATAATAATAATTCATGCCTTTAAGGGATATGTCCTATGAAAAATAAACATGAATATGTCATTCAGCCAGAGTTCCAAGAATTCATAATTTGTTAGGAGGAAATAAGCTATTAAAGTTATAATTTACTGATCAGAAGCTTATTCCATGGGATTCCAAATGAAAATCTTAAATTTTTTCTATAGAAAAGTACTTACTACACTTGGAGATTCTACAGCCTGAGGTTCTGGAGACCCTGAGGTTTTCTTTTGGTAATCCTTTCCATTAAGTCCAAACTTTTTTACTCATTAGGTCATGAAAAAAAGATACCAGAAAGATATTTGTGATGGTGTTAGAGAAATCTAGGACCTTCTCTTATGAGCTTAGTGCTAATGCAAAGAAAGCATGATAAGGTCAAAAGATGTCTTTCATATTTTCCTCTGATTAGCAAATAATAATAACAAACACTTACATGACATTTGTTCCCAGTACTGTTCAAGTGCTTTACATATACAGTCACTTACTTAAACAATGCCATAACAACACGGGGAAGATACTGCTGTTAGTTACGGAGAGGTTAAATAATTTACCCAAGGTCATTTATCTAATAACTCTCAGGCAAAGATTCAACCCAGGCTGGACGGAATCAGAGCCATAGCTCTCAACCCCTCCACTATACACCTTCAACATGTACAGTCTGTTTTTCCAGGTGGGAAATGAGTGACCAGTTCACTCCCCTGTTTATGAGCCTTCAAAGGCTATTTGTCACCTGCAGGATAAAGTCCAGACTTCTTATCTAGTCATACAACACCATCTTTGGCCTAGCTCCCGCCAACCTTTCCAGTCTTATCTTCTGCCACTTCCTGCCCATTAAAATTAGTAGCTCTTTGGTTCACAGTATGCTGTTTGTTGAACCTACCTTTGTTCTCTGTTTATCCCTCCAGCTAGCATGATCCTCTTTTCCCATCAACTACTCCCGCTATGTCCCTGTGTGGTGCAAATGATTAAAGCTTTTGGCTGCTAACCCAAATGGTGGTGGTTCAAGTCCACCCAGAGACATCTCAGAAGAAAGGTGTGGTCATCTACTTATGAAAAATCAGCCATTGAAAACCCTATGGAGCACAGTTCTACCCTGACATGCTTGGGGTCACCATGAGTTGGAACTGACTCAGTGACAACTGTTTTTTGTTTTTTTCACTCCCTCTACACCTAATAATAGTACATCCAGAAAGCCTTTGCAGGCTGTTAGGTGGCCCTTCTAGCTGGTCCTGTAAAACCAAAAGACAAACTCATTGCCTTTGAGTCAATTCTGACTCATAGTGACCCCATAGGACAGAGTAGAACTGTCTCATAGGGTTTCCAGGGATCATCTGCTGGACTGGAACTGCTAACCTTTTTTGGTTAGCAGCTGTAGCTCTTAACCACTGCACCACCAGGGCTCCAGCTGCTCCTTTACTCTCTTTGAATTCTTTTATCACTGCACCTGCGACCAAAACCACAGCTGTTGAGTCGATTCTGACTCTTAGTGACCCCATAGGGTTTCCAAGGCTGTAAACCAACACTGAAGCAGACTGCCCCACCTTTCTCCTGTGGAGCCACTGGTGGTTTCAAACCACCAACCTTACGGTTAGCAGTCCAGCGCCTTATCCACTGTGCTACCAGGGCTCCTTGCACCTATAACAGTGTATTGTAATTACAGTTAACTTGTGATCTCTTTGCATATAAAGACATATTTTAAGTTCTAGCAAAGTCTCTGGCTTATAGTGGGTCCACAATAAATATTTAATGGAAACAATGTAAGATTTGAGGGTCAAAATGTGACTATAAAGAAGAATCTTTCCAAAAGAAATAGCCTTAGTCCTCTTTTCTAAAAAAGACAAACAAACAAACTATTGATCTGGGTAAATCCATCTTCTTTTTTTTTTTCTTCTGTTCTTGGGAATTTTATGATAATTCTTAGTAAAAGGAATACTTATGTTTACTACTGGTTCTTTTCTACAGAATTTTTCGGGAATATTTTTTTCTCTCATCTTGTATTTTCTCTTAGTGTTTAAGGATCTCCTGGCTGCAACAGAGCTGTGGTTTCCTGTCTGGCTGACTAATTGCTGGTCAGTGACCAAGCCCTTTGAAATGAAAAGAATAAATTAGGATTAGTGTGTTTATGTGTTGAACAGGTAATTGTTGAGCACCTAATACATCCCTAGCATTGTGCTTGTGCTGAGAGTAAAATGGTGAACAAAAACTCATATATATTCTGCTCTTATGGAACCTATAGGCCAATGAGACAGATGCAGGGAGGAAAAACTGAGTCACAAATACTGATGTTGAATCAAATGGTGAAAAGTATTCTGAAGGAAGCTTATGAGATTGTATAACAGGCTGAATAGCCTAGCTTGTGGGCAGTAAATCTTCCCTGAGAGGGTAATAGACAAAATGAGGTATATGCTATATATCCAACTGCCTATTTAACTTCTCCCACAATTTCCAACCCCTGCACACCCATAAGGAAACCCTGGTGTCGTAGTGGTTAAGAGCTATGTCTGCTAATCAAAAGGTCGGCAGTTTGGATCCACCAGGTGCTCCTTGGAAACTCTATGGGGCAGTTCTACTCTGTCCTATAGGGTTTCTATAAGTCGGAATCAACTTGATGGCAACGGGTTTGGTGTTGGGGTTTTTGGCACACACGTAAAAGGAGACTTCGTGGTGCAGTGGTTAAAGTGCTCAGCTACAAATTAAAAAGTCAGCGATTAGAACCCGTGAGCTGCTCTGTGGGAGAAAGATGTGGCAGTCTGCTTCCATAAGGATTTACTTGGAAACCCTACGGGGCAGTTCTACTCCGTCCTTGTTGTTATGAGTCGGAATCTACTCAGTGGCAATGGGTTTGCACAGATATACCTCAGCCTTCACCCTCTCACTGAATGGCTAGTTCCATAAACTGGAAGCTTTGGCTATATATCCTTGACATTTTTCTCCCCTTCCAAGTCTTTATCTAATCTATCAACAAATCCTCTTGGTACCCCCTCCAATACATCACAAATCCCTCAGTTTCTCTCCACCTTCACTTGTTGTTATTGGTTGCCATCAAGTCAGCTCCAATTCATAGTGATCTTATGTATAATAGAACAAAATGTTGCCTGGTGCTGACCCATATGTTCATTGTTATCCCCCTTCATTATCACCATCTTACTCCTACTCACCATTACCCACCCTTAGTCTCCTGACTGATCCACGTACTTCCAGTCTTGCCTCTTATAATACATGTCCAAGCAAGTGAAAGATCTTTTAAACATTTAAATCAGATTAATGCATTTCGTTGATGCAATACATTATCCGTTTTAACTGACATGCTCCTTTAGGTACTAATAAGAAAGAAAAGTCATGACCAACTGAAGTATGATATCATGCTTTCTTATCACTTGGAATTATTAGATTTATTTACCTCTTTCAGACTTGGATAGATTTTTTTAAAAATCATACATCACTCTTTTCATAATAAAAAGGTGAATATAAATGAAATCAGCTGGTTAAGGTATTTTAAGGAAATGACAATAACTACTGTGACCCACAGTGACTGAAAGATACCATTGATTTCAAAGTATATCCTTGAATTAGAGATGTGCGTATTAAAATAAGGAAATACAGTATTTCACTTACCTGTTTAAAATGACTCAGTGGCTTTCCATCACGTTTAGAACAAAATTCTAAATTTTCCCTGTGGCCCCAAAGGTCTTGCTTGACATGACCCTGCCTACCTATGTGATCTGATCTTTCGTCACTGTCTACGCTCACTCCACTCTATTTTTTCTGTCAACACCGGCTTTCTTTCTGGTTACTGAATATATCAAGTTAATATGTATATCAAGGAAGCTTCCTCTTTGTTCTTCCTGGAATGCTTTTCCTTCAGCATTTAGAATGAAGGGCTTCTTCTCCCATTGCAACTTCAGCTTTGATGT